ATATATCCTTCAGATGAAACAACTGCACTGCCCATAACTCATGTTCACACACTAACCTGTAATGAGGGGTCACAGGTAGCCTTATTTTGAAGGGTCACACACCAAGTAGGGTAGATGTGAGTGAAGAAAATGGATTCTTGAGGCATTGGGGTTGTGTGGAAAGTTGTATTCCTCTATTTTCCCATTCTGAGTGTCAAAAGGGTTCACTGTGGATGAACCTCAGCAAATCTTCCCCTTTACTGTCTCATTGCTCTGAGTTCACAACAGAAAAGATGTCATGGTAAAACTTAAATGAATAGCCTGAGCTTTTATTTGCTTCAATCAATGAACTAATCCTGCCTTTATTTGGAACAGGCCTCTATATGGGACAGGCCTTTAATTCTTTGCACAAAACTCTTGTTCAGCAAAGATACAATGAGACTATTTATTTAAACCAGTATGAATATTACTTGTCCAAAAATGAGGATATTGAATAACATCAATTAGGAATCCTTCATTTTATCATTTGACACTTTGGTGCTCACGGTTTCTGTAAAATGAACTGTGTAGAATAAACAGATCTAACAATGTGTAGCATGTCCATATTTAACATTTCATGTTTGTGTCGCTGATCAAAGCAGCTTAGAAAACACTCAAGTGGGCGACCTGGTGGGCTTTAAGAGGTTTTATACATCCAAAGAACTTCTATAAAATCCAGACCAGGCCTCTAATTTAGACCTACCTTATATGTATTACCCTGTATATATGCATTACATTAATGCACTCCCGTTTTCTGTACAGTTTTCTTATCTTTATTGATTTATATTTTAAAAGTACTTAATTTTTGTGTGATTTTTATATTTTATGTATATTTTAATGCAAGACAAATTCCTCGTATGTGTAAAAACTTACAATAAACCTAATACTGATTCTGATTCTGATTGGTCAAATGTGTAGCCACAGCAGGCTAGTAAAGGAGACCTGCCTTCTCATGTTGTTTGGTGACAGACGATGTGGTGCAAGTTCTATTAAAGCATGGGGGAGATACATGGAGAAGCACACTAAAACCCAACATATCTACATCATATGACCTTTGATGAGTGAATGAAAAGGAGATGCTGCTACCAAATGAAAGAAAACACAACAACATGCCCATTTGTTTATTTACTGTTGGCCTTCAAATAGGATCCAAAGATGATTATATATATAAACAACATATAGCCCATCATTGAATGCTATCTGGAGACCAACAGCAATAAACGAATGCGCACATATTGAAAAATCTATTCTCTGAATTGTATTCTTTCATTTGGTAGAGGCATCTCTTCATCAAAGGTCATATCACATACATTGCTATTAGTGTGTTTCTCCATGTATCTCCCGTAGACTTCAACAGAACTGGCAGCGAACAGCATTAGAATGTTGTGTTATGATGAATTGACCCTTCCTTCTTTTTAGTTTCCTTGATAAATACGCGCAAACAACACTGATTTAAAAAGCATAGTTCAACTTGGCATAGTAAGAGTAACAATGGCGCCCCGTTGTGGTCAGTGCCCGGCGTGAGATTGTCGGTAAACTCCGACTTGAACCGTACTTATACGAAAGAGGCCGAGCCGGAGCGGAGCTGTCCGGAACATCCGGCCGTAGCCTCTCAACATAAACAGCAATGGCGGAGGCAGCAGTAGCGTCTACGGCGACTTCACCAGTAACAGGAGGTTGGACCAAACACGTAACCTGCAGGTAAGACAAGGCAGACCTACATCAAAATATCGAAGATGACTATGTCGCCTGTCGTTTGGCAGCAGAATAATGGCGATACGGTGGCTGACGAGCGGCTGGCAACAGCGTCTTCCTCGGCTCCACTCAGCTGTTGGTTAGCTAGCTGTTAGCTGTAACGCCACTGTTGTTAAGTTGACTGTGTTATTGTCAGACAGCAGACTGCTGTGGCAGGTTAGCGGACAGTTTGCTAGCTGCGTTTTCGACAACGAGCAGCTAACGCTAACGCTAATGTCAGGCTGTAATGTTAGACAGCTGTCATTCAACGGAGCGATAAAACCCTGAACGCAAATGTTACCTAGCTCAGCTGTTTACAGCCACTCAGTACACTTTCACTTTATAACTAACCGACGTTAACACCAGCTAGCTTTGCCGGTTGGTGAGTTTAAATTCCATAATAGTCCCAGCACTTGTTATGTGCCTCTTCCAGACTAGACATCGGCTAACGTTATGGGCGGAATTGTTTATTGTGTCTGTGAGAAGATTAGCTTGATTGCGCTGCCAATGTGAAAGTGAAAGACTCACACTGTGGCTTTTTTCTTAGACATAAAGGGTTGTTCTACTTTTTAAACTTAACGTTACATTACTAAGTTCAGTTTGACATGCGCATGTAGGATGAGCTTCCGTTAGTATGACGGGAAATCTTTCCTCTGCTTTTGTATTTTCAGATATTTCATGCATGGTCTTTGCAAAGAAGGAGACAACTGTCGATATTCCCATGATCTGACCAACAGCAAACCTGCAGCCATGATTTGCAAGTTCTTTCAGAAGGGAAACTGCGTGTTTGGGGACCGTTGCAGGTAAAGACAAGTAAAATCATTCATCATTTTCAGTACAAATTTAAAAGTGAGCTTTGAGCACAACTGATGTGTTCAAAGTCAGATGCTACAGCCTAAAAAAGTAGTCCCAGTTGTCAGTTGAGCTGCATTATAAGTTCTTTCTAAAACTGGCAGTGGTCTCAGCCAAATGTCAGCACAGCAGCTTTGTGGCAGGGCTTCTCACAAGTGTTACAGCCTGCCCCTCAAGTGGATCCGACACCTGAGACTGCTGCTTCCTAATGTCAACATGTTGGGCTGTGGCAGCTGCATGTAGATCCACGGAATCCCTTGTCTGTGGCACTACAGCGTTGCTCCGCTGGGTGCAAGGTGTATTATGCATTTGAGCTTTGTGGAACCAGTGTATGTTTGTTTCCAAGTTAAAACATTTGTTGTTTTGTGTTTTTTATTTCCAAAAACCAGCAAATATTCATATTAGAGAAGTTGGAACCAATTCATTTTTACTTAAAACCAGTGATCAAAATGATTGCCTATTTCTTATCTGTCAATTGACTAACTCATGGACTACTGCTTACCATTTTCAGAGCATGTAGCAAATAGCTTCAGGTTGCCAAAAGGACAGTATGTTCAATATCAACTGGTTCTCTCTGATTAACAGTTGAACTGGTTTTGGTTCTGGTGTTGGTTTTAGAACACAACATATTTGGTTTTGTTTCTGCGTCTGATCACTAAGCTAGCCTTTTGTTTTGTGAGTTTTGGATGTGTTTTTTAAAGTTTCAGCTGTATCATTGTTACATGTGTGCAGACTAATCTGAAATGTACTTAACTGCATTAAAAGCACACACAATGGTCATTCATGGATTGCTTAATGGAGGTAACTGTCCCATCCATGCAAGCTGATTTTCACACTGGACTGAAGTCGGTGTCACGCAGTTTGGGAAATGCTTAATTTGAACTTGAATTTATGTACTGTATTCAGGGTTAGGATTATGTTTGAGTTTTAATATACTCCTTGAAAACGGCTTTATTTTTCATCTTAATCTGGCATTTCATCACAGTAACTCATGGAAGCTAAAAATCTTATATTTGAAATGACACTATCCTGTCATCATATTTGTTTGTCGTCTCCTGGCAACAGAAGTAGCAAACTAATCAAAAATAATCATGATCAAAACTTACTATCAAAGTTGATGTGAACAGCTGGTAAAATAAAGTGACAGTATACATTGATTGCTGTGGGTGTGAAGACATTCCTAATAACAATGTAGATGTCTAAAGGCTGGGAGAGTCTGGAGATTTTCCATGTGGAAATGGAACCCTGGCTGCAGCGTGCATTGAATGTGGGCTCAGACATGCAGCGATGTGGTCCTTTTGAGAAGCAGATTAGGCTCCCACTCTGTTGTCAAGCTTGAATGTACCCAGACAGCAGCAGCCAGCTTGTACAGACAGTGTCTGCTCCATGTCTGGCTTCAGGAGCATCCCCATAGTTACGGAGGCAGTCGGAGGACCACCCCAACAGCAGCAGGGCCACTTCACTTCCATACATACTTGATCCTTTTTCTTGAATAGTCAGCCTGCTGCCGGTTGGTAGAGTGAATATAGCACTGAGCTGCTGCTGCTGCTGCTGCTGCTGCTGCTGTTGTTGCTGCTGTTGCTAGCTCGTTGTTGCGTAGCTGTTGTTGTTGTGTTGTTGCTGCTGCTGTTGTTGTCTGGTCTGTTGTTTGTTGTTCGCTGTTGTTGTGGTGGTGGTAAGTCACATTCCTCCATCCCTGTGATGGAGATGCAGTAAGGGGGGTGTCCTCATTATTTCTGTGGGGCTGTGCAGCCTGTATTAGGAGTCCAGAGAAAGCCTCTCGCTGGGGGGGTTATTATGGTTGAATTCCCTGGGCTCTGTCTATTGTGATCGGCTCTGTCTCACTCTCTCACTCTGCCTCTGTCTCTCTCTCCCCTGCAGCCCCCAGGGCCAGACAGAGTGCACTGCAGCCTGCATGGCAATTGCATAACACTCTGTTTCCCTCCTGCTCTCTTTCTCTGAGCCCCCCCC